GATAATTAAAGTGTAGTATACACTAAACTTCGGGGAAAAATACATTCTGAGAAAAAAATTATATTCTTAAAATTCATGACATGATTACCTGTATCCTGTTCAATTCTATTACAGGTCCGTGATGCTTATCTCTCACCATCGTAGCTTGGACAACTTTCCTAAACGTAGCTTCTTTAATGGAATAAATTAATATGCTGCGCAATTCATGCAAAGAATCTGGTCCTGTTATCGGGAACATTGTTATACAAGGACATATTAATTCTGCAAAGTGATGTAGAAGAACCAATCGACAGTGTAGAACCAGTGGAGGAATATCTTGTAGTAAATCATACTCCAAGGGAGCTACCGAAGGTAATCGAGCACATGCTGAACTGGCATTGCTCGTGGACCATGCTAGAGTGTGTGCGGAGCCGCATGCAACATTTGTTATTTTTTTAACATTTGCCTGAAAATAAAGAAAATCTCATATGGTAAAGCATCGACTTTATGGAATTGGTAGAGTGTACTTGTTATTAGGTATTTGAATCTTCTATAATATGAATGAAATAAAGTTGTATTACAGGTGTAGAAAGTATACAACTCTGTACTTTACTTAGATTGATCTTCACCAAACACCGATACACTTACTTCAGGACAGAAGTCTAATGGGACTTAACTAAATAATTTACAATCATCTATTTCCATGAATATTTTTCAACTCTACAAATTTTTTTGAGCCATTATATTTAAAACTAATATCTACTGCAAATATAAGGTCTGATATTCAACTTACTATGAAAACTGCAAATTAACTTTGATTTGAATTAACCTTCCATTGGTATATAATGAAATAAAAAGAATGCATGTAGATATACTTTCTGAACGTTTATTCATCAATATTTTCATGTCTCTAGACTGTGTAAAACTGGTAATATATTTGTGTAAATTATACAAACTGTCTCAAGAATGAACAGTCCAATGACTGTTGAAATTTTATTGATAGTTAAATAAATTCTGCAGGACTATCTACAGTTGACCATATAGATATCTCAAATCCCTTTTTTTTAAAACAGAAGCAGTAAATGGAAAATAGCTCGCGTTTCTGAAAAATGGCCACACAAAAATTATATAGAATTGTCGAGTGCAATTTTTCCAAATTGTTTCAGATTACTTTATATGACATCATTTATAATTCAACAAAAAGCATAATACCATAAGCATAACATGGTTTCTTAACGAGTAGAATTTGGAACCTCTGGAATAACATAAGTCTTTTGAAAACACTTTCTTTTTCACCAGAACAAAAATATTCTCTCTCCTGATAATGGTAACTTGGTTAGCAAAACACGCGTCAAAAGAATATTTTTGTTCCGGTGTGGTAAAAGTATGTATAATAGAAAACTCTCTTGTCTACCTCGGTATTTATGTGAAGTATTTGAAGAAAAGAGTCTAGTGAATGTAATTTAGTCAAATAAAAATGTTTATTCTGTTAAAATAGAGTGGTAATGGTTTCTCTAAAAAAATAGTAAAGATGTTTATGTTGTATCTGCTTGATCTCAAGTAGTATGTCGACCTTTGTTATTCCTTCTTTTCATTAATGATCTCACAATGGAAATAGATTATCAAACTTAAGTACTTTGATGATCTGAAGAATGCTGCAACAATAATTAGTAGCTGAATGTCAAAAATGCGGTGTTTTAACCTCCACAAGACATTTTCTGATTGATTCGGCCGTTACTTGATGAAGATCCATAGTAATTTCAAAAACTACACCTCAACGATTTGATCTCCACAAACTTTATTTGAAAAATATATCACAACATGTTTCGCTAAGACATTAGCTTTTTCAAGTGAACAAATCACTTGAAAAAGCTAATGTAAGTGTAGTGATTTGTTCACTTGAAAAAGCTAATGTCTTAACGAAACATGTGATATATTTTTCAAATGAAGTTTGTGGAGATCAAATCGATGAGGTGTAGTTTTTGAAACTCCACAAGAAAATATAAATCGTTCATATTTTACTATAAAATAGAACAAACTTCACCGAGAATGTATCAAAACATAAAAGTACTCGAGATTATAAGAATTCAATGAAATATTTTTGAAATTATTTATGTGAAGCAGTTCAAAAAGCTTCAAAACACATAAATCTCACGTTGTAGGGTACCAAATCTTAACATATGAAGATTTTTATACCCTGCTCAACTTGATTGGGTCAATTTTGAATTCTCATCTCCTTTCTCAAATGAATGCCGATGTGGATGACATCAATGCTCTTACCCTAGACACTTCTTCAGCATATTCATCAGGACTACTGGTAAAAATGGAACAGCAAGATTATATACACACTCTACAACAAAGCGGTAAACGGTTGGATCTAACTATCCCACCAAAAATTGAAACTTTAATTAAATCAGATGATCTTCCCCCCTATCATTGAGTATTGGAAAGAACTACTCCCAAAATTGGATAAACAAATAATTCAAGTTTATTGTCCTGAGAAACAATAAATGCTTATAGGGACTAATATATAATGATCCCATCGTGATATATCGACTTTTTCCCACAATTTGTTTGTATTTTAGTTATTGACAATAATTTGGTTCGTCTTATGGCATTATTAAGAATATGTCCAATTTGAATAAAACTCAAGTTAGATTTCTCTGTATTATTTTTGATAGATTGAATGAAAGAGCTAATTCGAGTTTATAGAATAAATTTAAGTCCAATAAATACTTTGGTTAATATAAGTTTAATGTTGGTTCCAAATATGGTAATTTATGAATGCTCTTAATCATTTTGTTCTGAAAGGTTTTCAGAGGTGCGATTATATATTTACTTGCTATTTTCGAAACAGAAATAAAAGATGAAAATAAATGAGACTGAAATATATATGTTATTGAAATTTTATAGGTAAAAAGTTTCAAATTTTGTAAAAAAAATCTAATAAAAGGATATATTTTCTTTCTGATTTTTTCCATATGTTTGTTTATTCCATGACAATTTCTCATTCATGTATAAACCCAAAAAATTCGTTATTCCTGTTAATTTTATAAGATTCTCATTAAACATAATTGAATTAGTTGAAGCCAACTGAGAATATCATCCAAATCATTCTTTATAATTACATTTTGGGGATAGCGTTGCTTGAGTTGTCCCGTGAGAACTTCAACTGGAAATTTGAAAGTAGTCAAACTGGCTTACTGAGGAATTTGACAAGTATTACATGTTTTGGTATCTTTATTTTCTTTAGATTTTATTTTATTCACTTTTACATTTTTGTCAGTGAGAAATGTTGTGGAACAAGCAGATTCAAATTATTTATATGAAATTTACATGCGCAATATTTTCGACATCTTGGGTCTGAGAGAAGAATTGCGTACTCCACCCCACTTTCTGTGCAACATGCGCGCAAAAACATTCAAGCAGCGAATGGCGCGAGGTATGCCTACATGTAACAGAAAAAAAGTTCCATTTACTAACTGTTGCTAGGAGTTTGCAATAATTTCTCCATTAATTTTTCAAGTATACTCATTGTTAAGCATTTTCCTTGTCAGTTCACTTGTTACTTGTTGTGTGTGTTTGAAACGCTTTGGAGAATTTACAGCTCCGTTTTCCACGTTATTGCATGTTTAGAAGGGCCCTTCAAATGTAATTTATAATTTTAATCACGATAATAACTTAATAATAATCAAAATACAATCATATATATGTAAATATATTAAATACCAAATGATACACAAGTTGATACAACTTTAGAACATGAATACGTTTGAATTTGCATTTTTGAGGTCTATTAAACAGTGCATCTCATTTCTAGGTTTCATATTAATATTCTTGGCTTCTTGCTTGAATAGAGACAGTGAATTGAGATTCTTAATTTCAGTTGGAATTTTATTGAATAGTTTAGGAGCAAGAAAAAGATAACATCTCTGTCCAATAGTTTTAGTCATCTTAGGTACTTCCAAAGCTTCTTTCTTATATCGGGTGTTGTATATATGATGTACGCGTTTGCTAGTTGAAATATATTTTCTTTGGTATACTCAGAGAGTGAGTAAAAAAGTTTGGCTTATATTAAGAAACCCTGATTCCCTATAAAGATCATTAATAGAAAGTCACGTTTTTTACCGAGTACGATTTTTATGAGCCATTTCTGTAGTGTTTCGAGATTTTTCAGATACTTGTTAGTTACTACACCCCATGCAATAATTCCATAATTGATGTGTGTTTGAACAAATGTATAATACATGATGCAAAGGTGATGTATATCAAAAAATCTTTTTAAATATTTACAAATGTTACAAATGTGAGCATCCCACCTCAAATGACTATCTACTGTGATGCCGAAATATTTAACAGTTCTGTTTTCCATCAGAAGCATATATTGGTTTTCAATTCGGTCGAAAGCAACCGTGTCTTCATCAAAGCCAGTTATATCTCCAGGAATGGCTAGGTTAAACATTTCATTGATATGAAATCTGGAGTATGAAAAGAATAGGTCCTTAAACAGTGCCCTGTACTCCATATCGTATAGTTTTATTGTTACTCCGGGTGTTATCTATTTGTACACATTGTTAACGATTATTCAAATAGCTATTTATCAAATCCCTTAATTTCCCCCTAAATCCTCTAAATCCTATATTTTCGAGGGACTTCAACATCCCATTATTTGAAAATGAATATGAAGTTTTGATATTTTGAATCTTACCTGAAGATGAGAGACAAGTCTAGGTCTCTGAATAGCATTGGTAGTACCATCACCCAATTGACCTTCATCGTTATCTCCCCAAGTGAATACTTCCCCTTCATCAGAACATGCTACACAATGAAGGGATCCTGTTGCAATACTGATTATTTTTTTCCCTTGTAAAGCAGCAACTTTCTTAGGTCTTCTTACATGATCGCCGGTTCCATGACCTAACCTGTGATAATCTCCTTTGCCCCTAAAGAATAAAAAAGAATATCTTTTACCTTTCAAAGTGAAACATTCACCAATTACCATGTATAAACACTACCCGATCGAGTTAAAGCTACTGAAAATTGTGATCCACATTCGACCTTGATCACACCCAAACCCGCTAAACTTTCTATTTTCATTGGTATCTTGCAACCATCAGATCCACCTCTTCCCAGTTTACCGTAATCTCCATCTCCCCATGACCAAACATTGTCATCATCAGTTATACAAAGGGTCTGTGCATCTCCTGAGCCACAAGCAACATCAATTACTTTATAACCAAGAAGAGCTTCAACCTGAAAGATTGATTTGAAGGATTAAATAATTCAAAGTGGAATGACATCTTACTAATTTTGGTTTGAGCTGATCTTCACTGTCACCATGACCCAATCTTCCATATCGACCTTTACCCCAAGTATATAAGTGACCTGTAGAAGTTATAGCAGCTGAGTGAGCTCCTCCACATGATATATCCACTATTTCATATCCTTGAATTGCCTCTACTAGTTTTGGCGTTTCACATGATCTGAAATATCAGAAAAATTATAAAAGCAACCAAGAGCATACAAAAATCGAAGACAATTTTTTACCATTATTTATTCAATTTTGAAAATACACGTGCTGCAAAAATTGCACCAGCTGATCCATTTGTTGACTTTAATGCTTATATAACTTTTAAACTATCAGAGATACGACAATAAACATTCAGGACACTTTTGTAGATAATTAAAGTATCTTTCAAATGTCATCTTGCATATATGTTTTAGTTATTGTTAATTTGTTGTTTTAGGCATTTGTTCATTAAAATTAACGATTTCCTCGGGTTTTTACAAATTTTCAGGCTTACAGCTCAGTAAATAATGCAAATTCGGATATTGAACTTCAGAGAAATTTTGTTATCGAGATGAAGATGGAAATAATGACTCTGACGATGGAGATGAGTCAACCATGTTTCAACAAACAGAATAATATTATAATAAGAACACATAACTGTTTCTTGTAGTTCAAATAATTTAGTTCTTAGATCGCCAACATGTATCTACCTTATATCTATTTCCTTTTGAATGAATTTTATCTGTAACACATGTTTCAAATATTATTGTTATATGGCTATGATGAATGTTACATACCTTGATTTTATATTACCGACTATATATAACAACAACATCCAGGACGAGGACGCGCTACAACTGCAGTTCAAGACCGATTTTTGGTCTTAACCGCAAGAAGACAACCGACAATCACAGCACCTGAGTTGGTTAACGTGTTGCAGCAGACGCACCAGGTAACCATTGNATTTCATTTTGTTTCGGACTTCACCAACCATGAATGAAAGGAAATCCAAGATTATCAAGAAAATGAATAGATTATGTTTTATAGATTGGAATCCTAAAATTGTGTTGGATATTTTTTATTATTTTTACAAATAAATGATACATCTCACAACAATTGTTCTGTTTTAGGAAATCGGGAGTAAATTTTAAATTTGTACTCCGTTGATGAAAATTATGAATGATAAACATGTTACACTACCTCTCACAGTTGATATTATTATTCCCACTACCAGAGGTGTGAAAGCACTATTCTTGACATACGTTTTAGCAAACAAGATGATTTAATCAGTAAATGATCTCATTCCAATTAAATATAGGTAAAGGGTGACATCAAATACGAATAAATCTACAAGTTCCTCTTGATGATACTTCCACTGTGTGGAAAAATGGATTTTATTACATCTATTACCATTTTCAACAATGATATATATATCTGACGAAATTACTTCACCACACCGGACTCTATTCTAGATGAAAGTATTTTCAGCTCATAAATTATTAATCTGAATTTTAATAATCTTGTTATGTTTATCTGTAATCAAATTATGTCTGTATATAATCAGAATAAATAAATAATTTTTTTTTCAAACCAGTCTACATAAACATTTTAATAAACTTTGTGGCTAGTACTGTGGTCAATTGAAAAAAAATAGTCAAACTGATAATCGGCGTTGAATAGACACACTAACTTTATTTAAATAACAAAGATTATCAGCATAAAAACATCATCTCGGACCATTTGAAATTTTTTTGCCAAATGTTCTCTCCTGATCAAACGTTATGAAACTATCAGAACACGTCACTCAACAATAAATTCTGCCAATGCTAGCTTTTTAAAAAGTCAGGATAGAAAATTATTCATAAACTTCATTTTTTTGTATATATTTTACCACTTTTCAGGAATTGATAACACCATATTGAATCCAAATCTGAATTTCAAGAGGCTAAATTCTTCTTAAGCTTGGTATAAATATAAAAATATTTTCAAGTAAAAAAAACAATGAATAATTTTGAACAACTTACGTTCTAGTCCCATGTCCAAGTTTACCATCGTCTCCTTCTCCCCATGAGTAAACATCATTGTCAGCTGATAATGCCAAACAATGTTTACCTCCGGAATTCACGGCAATTTTTTTTATGTAAACATGTTGAATTGACTCTAGTAGTGTTGGCACCAAAACTGAATCAGTACCACCAATACCCAGTCTTCCACCAGCACCATAGCCTACATATTAATTAATAATAAAAGTGTCATAGTTAACTTCGTATCTTTTTTACCAGTGGCATAGGTCTTTCCATCAGCTGTAATGGCAAATAGAGTTTGTTCACCTCCTAGAAGTTGTATGGGTCTGAGAGTCGATAAAGCTTCACAAGCTGTAGGTATTTTAACTTTAGCCCCTTCTACTCCTCCTAACTGGCCTCTGTGATTGTGACCCCAACCATAAATTGTCCCAGATCCACCCCATGATAAAGTCCAATCTTCAGGACGCCTTGAAAATGTATATTTTAGTAAATAGTGTCAAAGAGGTGAATGAATATTTGTCACAGATCAGTTGAAATTGTGTAACAACCAGAATGGATTGAGAATATTTAACTCAATGATATATCAATGAAGGCAACACATTGAAGAAAAAAGTAACATTTTATAGCAAACTATAAAATTCCCCTATTTAGAATTTTTTCAATTGGTATTTGAATTGTGTAACGGAAATGTCTCTATTCTCTGGAATTGAATTATATATGATGATCCCATCGTGATATATCAGTATCATAACAATCTGCCCTATAAATAACAAGAGAAATGTTGCCAACCTGTTTAGCCAAATCAAAAGCTGTTCATCGTTTTCTTTTTTGAAAATATCATGCTTCTCATATTCCCAATAATCTTTCGATATATCACCACTAGAGTCTGTTAATTTTTTTCTTACTTCTTGGCAAAAATTTAAAGGCAATGGAATTCGATGAATCAAGGATTTTGCAACTCTTGCAGCATGACAGTATCTTCTGAACCAAGACCACTTATGATTATCAACAATGCCAGCCATCTTATCTAGTTCTAAATCACAGGCCAGTGCTACCAACACCTAAATTATATTATCAGAGGATTATTATAAAAAGAATCTCACATCGCTTAATTTCTTACTTTGAAAAAATCTGAATGCATTAAATGCAGTCCTGCTCTCACTGAACCATCTTCATATTCATACTGGCGCAGTAGAGCTTGAGGCAATTCCTCTAAAAGAGAACCTAGTGCACTGTCAGGTGCTTTTAGCTCTTGTAAGTGGATAGCTACCATTTCAGGCTTCTTATGTTCACCTACCAGGAGTCTGTGTAATCTTTGTAATGACCACATTCGCTGGCCAGGAGCTTAAAAATCATTAAATAGGTGAGAGAAAATACAACAAGTTCAAAACTTACAAAGAAAACTTAATTGTGAACATGACGCTAGAGCAGCAGCAAGTCTAGACATTAATGCTGAATCAGCAGAAGGATACAATCTAGGATCCAGTAAACACATAACCATATCCATTGATGGTTGACTAAGAACGGCCCGATCTGATCCTAGTTCAGTTAAACCATGATTTGACATAACAGGATAAACGGTAAATCGCCATCCCCAACCATTTACAGAACTGTCACTACTGAAAGTCCATCTTAGTTCGTCTCCTACGAAAAAATTTGGTGTCAAATTATAACAGACTTTTTGTTATACTTACCAGGTATACGCAATTCTGAAGACCAGTCACTCCATTCTCGACCTGAATTAGTGGCAATTATTCTGCCAGTACCATCAGTAATTTGTAAGGGGTCATGTCTCCGTTCTGTTGAACATCTTCTGTCAAATTCTACTCGAAGAGCATCTGCACCTGGTAATCTCACATGTCCTATTGAAAATTTTCAATTTATTTTATTAAATCAATTTCAGACATCTCTCAAATTTGTGATGAAAAATTAGTTTATAGAAATAGTACTGAAATATTGCTTTCAGAATTTCTTTGCTGTTTTTTCTTCAATAAAAGTGAAGGAATTTACCCTAATACTCTGAAGAAGTTGTAGCAACTATTTTGGCAGAGGTGGTCCAACGAGTTCATTGCAGAACTTCAACGAAGGGTGAAGTGAAAAACTTCTTTACATCAACTCAAAATCGACCAAACAGTTTTGGTTACAGGACGGTAATTTGCCCTCACCGTGTTGGGCAACAGACAGAATAATTGTGTTAAGGACTCATAAAAGGATCATTTGAAAAACTCTGTTTCCTACTCATTGAGTAGGAAACAGAGTAGGAGTAGACTGTACTAGAAGTCGGAAAAAAATTGTATTGTACAAGCGAAAAAAAAATTACTGCTGCAATAATAAACCGCAGCATAATAAAACAAATTGGTTTATTCAATACACAAATTATTGGCCAATTTCAGTTGAACAAGTTTTTTTGTAAATTATTGAGAAATCAGTACATTCTAGATTATTTGAATATCTTGAAAAGTCAAAATTATTATATGACGGCTAATACGGGTTTCGAAAAATATGGAGTTCTTACATTAGACTCAAAGAGAACATTTGATAATATGGACCATAAAAAGCTTCTAGAAATTATGGACCAATTTCAGTTAAACCAGTTTTTTTCAATAATTAGGAAGCCAGTACATTCTAGATCATTTGAATATCTTGATAAGTCAAAATTATTATATGACGGGTAATACAGGTTTAAAAAAATATGGAGTTCTTACATTAGACTCAAAGAGAGCATTTGATAATGTGGACCATAAAAATCTTCTAGAAATAATGCATAATATAAATTCATTTTAAACATTCACAAGAATTATGGATAGTTTACAATAGGAAAATTGAAAGTCAAAATGTGCTAAAAATATATAAACATGTGCAAAAATCTATGGTCAAATGTGAAAATACAATTCATCCAATATTTTTTTTCACAAGTACTTTGAATTCTTGAACATTTTTTATGTTTTTCAATTCGGCAGGAAGCTGTTTATAACATATTACACCATTATGCAAGATGCAACGTTTCCCAATTTCCGTTTTTTGCTCTCCTTGGATGTATGAAAAATGTTTTTGTGATAACTATAAATGAAATGATTTTCGGTGATACCTAAACTGCTGAATTTTTCATTCATAATGGTAAAATGAACGAATGAACAGATTGCCAATAGATAAAATGAATATGTATTCATTTCCTCAGTTATCCGAGGTAATTGGTTTCAACATAATTAGTATATGTGGGGTACTGAGAAGGTTCTATTCTGGGATCTGTTTTGTTTCTCATACAATTCAATTCTTTGTCTACAGGAAATTTACTAGCTAAATTACAAATGCTTGCTAATCTAACCCCTTTAATTGACAATGGAAATGGTGTAAAAGAAATCAAAATTATTATTTCAAAAGACCTTGATCAAATACAATTATGGCTTTAAGGTCACAAAATGTCACTAACTTCAGAGAAATATTTGTCATATGTTTATATCAAAAAAGTGTAGATCAAGTGATTCAAAAACTTCAATCAAAGTCCATAATGAAAATATTAAATATCATTTGAATTGAAAAGACCATATTTCAAGAAAAAAAATATTTTTTTGGGATAGAAAGCCAAAACCTTTCTTTCCCAATAAATAATCTCATAGTGCAAATTTTCTTGGTCTCATTCTAGATGAAAATGTATCATGGACGAAACATATTGAAACAATAAGAAGGAAAATAGCTCCCATAATTGAACTTTTATTTAAATTAGGAAATGTATAAAGTGTTTTGTAACGAATTAAAGAATTAACTGTCTTAAACAAATTTATTTTTACCAATACTTCACTATCATAACTAATTTAGATACACAACTTAGCAACTAACGCCTAATTTATCTTCACTTTGTTAACCGCTCGATTCGCTTTCTGAATACAGACTCTGCTCTGGACGGGAAACGGCCTTTTTTGTATCGGCAACGAACGCTCCAGATCTCTCTAGCGGTTTCGGCACTCATCTATGCCTTTCGCGGTGGTTCGTCGAGTGCATTCCTTTCGCAGTGAGTCATTGTTTATTCGCTGGCTTAGATATCGGTCAGGGCCGGCTTCAGATTCATTACATTGCCCCCTTCTCAAAGAAGTTTCGCCCCGAAAGGACATCCTTGGCGTGTGTCGATACCTGCAGGACTCCCCATATCTGCACTGTGAAGTTCGATGGAAGTAACACTCCACAGTCTTCATGCTCGGTCGTGGAAGATGGTTACCGCACACCAAAATATTGATGACGCTGGATCTGAAGAACGTTTCCAACATGCTTCTCACAATTCTCCAGTCCAGCCTGTCGAGCCCAGAGGCTAATTTCGGGATTGCCGAGTCCACGATATTCTGGTCGAGCATCGTGTCCTTCAGTAAGCATCGTGTCTAAGTAAGACTCCTCCAGACATCTTCATAGGACGGTTTGTCTCGAGAATGCTTTTTGGTCTGACCCTTCTTCAACTGTAGCACTCCTCCGACTTCAGGATTCTGTTCTTGTAATGTCTGGAGCTGACCGAATTTCTTGTTGAATACCACAGCGATACTCTTGGACATTTGGAGGTCCTCTGCCACGCAGTGAGCTAGTGCGTAATCAACTGGAACCTTGAAAAGGTCTCGTGGCTCTTCTTGAGTTACCCCATGTACGACCTTCTGTCCGTTCGAGTATAAGGACATGAATTGCTGGTGGTCTGAGGGCATTCCATTATCTGGTGGTCTGAGGGCGCGAACTTGGTCGTGATTTTCTGCATAAGGAGCCAATCTATTGAAATGGACGACCTTAGGCTTTCCTCGAAGTGGCTTATGGATTCGGTAGACGAGGTCATTAATTTTTTTCATGATTTTGTATGGACCCTCCCACGAGTTCCGCAACTTCGGCGATAAACCACGGCGTCGCTTAGGATTGTACAGCCAAACTAGGTCACCGATTTCGAATCCTCCACCATTTGCCTTGATGTCATAGGCCTTCTTCATCCTATCGCTGGCATTCCGGATGTTTAGACGGACTCGTTCATGGATGTCGTCCATTCTCTGCCGAAGCTTGCTGACATATTCTTCTCCCGCAGTGTCTTGTTCTGGCGGCGTCCCAAATTTCAGGTCGCAAGGAAGCCGCAGCTCTCGGCCCATTATAATACTGGAAGAGGTTTGGCCGGTTGACTCGTGCACTGCCGAACGATAAGCCAGCAGGAACAGGTGGAGGTATTGGTCCCAGTCTCTTTGATGGTCGGAGACTACCTTGGACAAGTGGCGGTTTATGGTCTTATCCATTCGTTCCATCATTCCATTGGACTGTGGATGTAAGGCTGTGGTTCTGGTCTTTCGAATGTCCAACAGTTTACATATTTCTTGAAACATGTTGGACTAAAAATTTCTGCCTTGGTCCGAATGCAGCTCCAATGGGACACCGAATCGACATATACATTCCTTTACCAGGACGTCAGCGATGGTAAAGGCTTCCTGATTGGGCAGGGCATAGGCTTCTGCCCACTTGCTGAAGTAGTCCATGGCTACTAGGATGTATTTGTTCCCATGGTCGGACTCTGGGAACGGGCCGGCGATATCGATGGCGATTCTCTCAAAAGGATTACTCACGTTATACTGGCGCATTGGAGCTTTCAGTCGTCCCCTATGTCCGTTACTGGCAGCGCATGCAGCACACTTTCTGCACCAGTCCTTGACGTCGGATTGACAATTAACCCAGTAAAACTGCTGTCTTACTTTCTGGAGGGTCTTCGTTACTCCCAGATGTCCTTCAGTGACTCCATCATGGATTTCTTTGAGCACCTCTCGTCGTCTGCACTCTCGTCGTACCACTGTCTGGCGCCTTTCTTCTCCACCGTCTTTAGACTCCAACACCCGCTTCAGAACCCCGTTTTCCAAGGTAAGGAAGTTCCATTGTGCCCAGTAGGACTTAACCGCTGGCGAATAACCTGCTACCTCCTGCCACGATAGTCTTCGATTACTTTTCTTCCTTTCGATGACTAAACCAAGATCTGGATCTTTCTCTTGGTCTTCCTTGATATTATTATCCTCCCAGTTGTTTTCTACAGCTCTAGTTCTACAAATAGCTTCTTCCTTCTCTTCTGCTCGTCGGCAATGTGAGCAGTCATCGGGGCATGGTCTCCGTGACAGATCATCTGCGTTTTTATGTCTAGTCCCAGCGCGATGTTCTATTTCGAAGTCAAATTCTTGTAGTCTGTCAATCCAGCGCGCTACTTGACCATCGGGATTTTTGAACTGCAGAAGCCATTTGAGAGCTGCATGGTCCGTTCTCAACAGAAATCTTCTTCCATACACGTATTTGCATAAATGTTCTACACCTTTGACAACGGCCAACAGCTCTCGCCTGGTGACACAGTAATTGCGCTCTGGTTTACTGAGCGTTTTACTGAAGTAGCCAATATCTTTCTCCTGTCCATCCTGGATCTGAAAAAGGATGCTCCAAGTCCCACGTTGCTGGCGTCCGTATCTAAAATGAACTTTCCATTCGGTAGGGGAAAGCTCAAAACAGGAGCGTTGATCAAAGCCCTTTTCAACTTCTTGAATGAGTCTTGGCATTCCTCGGTCCACTGGAGTGGATCTGTCCTTCTGTAAGTCGGGTCAATGGTTTGGCGATGTTGGCAAACTCCAGCACATATCTACGGTAGTAGGTGCACAAACCAAGGAAGCTCCGAAGCTGGTGTATGTCTTTTGGAATGGGCCAATCCTTAACTGCTTTGATCTTTTGTTCGTCCACTGCCACTCCTTCCCCAGAGACAACGTGGCCAAGGTAACGAACTTCTTTCTGGAACAGATGGCATTTCTTGGGACTAAGTTTCAATCCAGAACTCCTTAGACGCATGAATACCTCCTTCAGATTTCTCAAGTGATCGTTGAATGATTTTCTGACCACGATTATATCGTTGAGATACACTAGACACGTCTTCCATGAGAGCCCCTTGAGAACCGTCTACATCAATATCTCGAAGGTCGCTGGAGCATTACAAAGCCCGAATGACATAACCGTGAACTGCCACAATCCTGAGCCGATGGTGAAAGCAGTCTTTTCTCGGTCTTCTGGGGCCAATTCAACTTGCCAATATGCACTCTTCAAATCCAAAGTCAAGAAAATCGTGAAGCCGGCTAGCTTGTCTAGGATGTCGTCGATTCTTGGAAGAGGATAGCTGTCTTTCTTCGTTATGTTACGTTAGTTGGCGATAATCCACGCAGAACCTTGTCGAGCCGTCCTTCTTCTTCACTAATACGACTGGGGAAGACCAGGGGCTGTCGGAAGGTTCGATGACTCCTTCTTTTTCCATATCGCTGACTATCTTGTCCGGCTCTTCTTTCTACGAAAGCGGGAGTCTTCTAGCTGATTGCCGGATTCGTCGGGCATTCCCAGTGTCGATTCTATGCTGAATCACATTCGTTCTGCCGCCTTTTCCTTCTCCAATATCGAAGATTTCCTGTTACTTCTTGACTAACTCCCTCAATTCTGATCGGTGAGTTGGTGGTATGTCCTTGGAGGAAATGTCAATCAACTTCTCCAACTCTATAGGCAAGTTGTTGGCTTGGCTAACCGAACTGCGTACACTCCGTATCACAGGTCACGGGAAAGTAGTTGACATTCATGACCCTGACCGGCACAACTTTATCAACACGCAACAGGGTCTTCCCCAGTGCGATTCCTCGTCCAATTTTCTCATCGTGTATCTTGGGCTCGAACATTACCACCTTATCGCTGCTCGCACTTCCGTCCAAGCGAGACTCCAGGATGGTTTCAGCCCTTTCAGGTACGCACAAGTCTTCTGCCAACAGGACCCTGATCGTCTCTTCGCTTCTTCCATGAAGCACCAGCTCTTCTCCGCCGACACGTAGGACGCCGTCTTGAAAATTCAGCTCGAACCCTCTGGAATTCATTATGTCCATTCCAATGATCGCATCGTCCTCGATGTCTGCCATCAATGCACGATGTTTCAATTTAGTGCTACCCAACACCAATTCAATTGGTAGTTCTCCAAGTACAGTGGCTGGCCCCCTGTTGCGGTGCGTAGCTTCCAGCTTGACGGTTCAATTCTTGCCGGTGTTTTGGCAAAGGTTGGCCCAAGAATGGTTCTCGTCGCACTTGTATCTAGCAGCATGGTGCAAGGCTCGTTGTTGATGAGGCCATCTACGAAAACACCTTTGTCTTGTCGTTGGAGAACGGCAACATATGCGTTTTTTACGGGGGCTTGCTGGGTACAGGCCGACGATTGCCCTTTCTCATCGACCCCCTTTAGTTTTCCTGATTTGGTGTCGATTCTTTGAAAGCTGGACATATGCTACGCACAAGTCCAATTTTCCCACAGTTCCAGCATCTTATTTGTTTCCTCTCAAGCAACACTTCTTTCATAACTTTTCTGATGGTGGCCTCAATATCAGCAGGCGCTTGTCCATCTTCCTCGATAGCTCGAACTTTGCTCTGGCTCTTGAAGGATTGTTTTGCAGCCTCAAACTTCAGAGCGCCTGCCAGTGTATCCACGAGATGTTTGGGATGAGCTAGTGTCTAGGCCTGCCTCCTTTCTTGGTCGCGAAGTCCGTCCAAGAATGCCTGAACTGCTAACCGCTCCATTACATTTTCCGGTGTAGCAGGATATGCCAGACTAACCAATCGAGCAATGTCGGCTTCGAATTCCTGTAGGGATTCTCCTGATTTCTGGAATCGGTTCGTCAGCTGTGAATGGTGAATGTGCTCTAGGTGGGATTGTCCATATCACAGCTCAAGATGCTTTACAAGTTGGTCATAGTCTTCCTGTTCCTGGGCCGTGAGGGTTTGCAGAATATTCGTTGCTTCTCCACGCAACGCCAATGTTAATGCTACCCTTTTCTCCTGCATTCCATCCATTCGCTCTGGCCGCGGCTTCAAAAAGAGGGAGTCTTCTA